TTTTTTTTTTTTTTTTTTCATGTGGCTCCGTGGCACCTTCATCTGCCCGGGGAAAGACACACACGCGCGGCTGAAAGTGGAGCTGGGGAAGCATCATGCGAAAGCCTGCCTAGGGGGGGGTGTAGTTGTGGATTGTACGTGTGAGTATGCAATGCGCCTGTTTGTATAAAGCTGGGGGTACATGTGCGCGCACCTCGAAAGAAAAAAGAAGCTGACGCATGGGGAAAAAAAAAAAAAAAAAAAAAAAAAAAACTGGTGACATGAAAGAGGTCTAGAGCGGAAGAAGAGAAAATGAAGATGGGGCAATTTTCCTTTGTTAGACTTCTCCTTTTGTTGAGTCTCTTAGTGCAGCGCCTGCCAGTGCAGAAGCAGCAGCAGAGTTCGATTCCAACGCGCAAGTACCTCGATGAAGGAGACCACCCCCCCCAAAACGCCTTCGCCCACGTGGCGAATCAAATGAAAGGGGGGACATGTGACTTTTCCACGGAACCCCTTCATGTTTCAAGTAGTGAGAATGAGATAGTGGCAGGGGTTAATGGAGGCGATGGCCTCCCCGGTGACAGTCGAGATGAACGAGTTCAACACTGTGTACAGTTCACTAAAGGATTGGAAGTGCTCACGTTCGTGTGCCCCAAGAGGAACACCGAGGACTACGCCGGAGTGGAAATCAGACCCATGGACTGTTTTGAGACTGTGCGAATGCCAAATGGAAATAAAAAAAAATTAAGTGAAGTGTTAAAAGGAGTCGAGCTGGAAAATCGGGATAGCGACTTGCTAAGCATTAGAAGAGTTTTCATCCCACCAACCATTTACCAGAATATTATTTTCGAGTGTTCATGTGATAATAGCTTAACGTTTTGGAAGCACAAGATGGGTGCCAGGGGTATCATGCGCGTGCACGTCAGGAAGAATGTCGTATGGGGATGCGACTTTGATCACACACCGGGGGAGGAACCTACACGAGATGCAGGGGGAGACCAGGCGATTACACGCGTAACGGGTGATTGGCTAAGCGGTGACTGGCTAAGCGGCGACTGGCTAAACAGCGACTGGGCTGTTGGTGACTGGGCCTTGTGGCGGAACTCCGGACCCAGTGCAGAACAACTCGTGGAGCGAAACAGAACGCCCTTTTCAAACTTCTACACCCCTGCACAAGTAAACGACGCCAAGGACAAGGGCATCGTGTGTAACGTAAAAATAAAAAAGAAAAAAGTGTATTTGGGGTTGGTGTGCCCCCCTGGTTATGAGGTGTACCCTTCTAATTGCTTCGAACGAGTCCTTCACAAGGATAGTATTGTGAGAATGAGTGAGTTAATTCAACACCATGTTACTTTTCATGTGGACAGCAGCAGGAGGATGTCCTTTGCACATTTTATTCTTAACAAAAATGAAAACCCTGCTGGGTTCAGCTGCCTTTGTGTTAGCGTGCACTCCCCCGAGGCACCTCCCCTGAGAGCAAACTTTGTGTATCGAAACTACGAGTCGTTTGGAGGTCACTTTGGTTTGCTCTACGTGCTGGTTGTACTCCTCCTGCTGGTGTTGAGCCTGTGAGAGGGAGAGAACCACGCGCAGGGGGGGGAGGGTGTTGTCTAATGGAAGGGGGAACACAAAGTTCGAAGCCGGTGCAGTGCTTTACACGGTGCGGTTATTACCCCTGCATGTGTGTGGCGACTGTCCATTTAACAGCCTATTTCAATGTTATTCGTTACATTATTGCCTTTGTTTTCGCTCTTTTTTTGTAAAAAAAAATTCGTACCGTTTCGTGTACACCCCCCCCCCTTTTCCGTGTTCGAATTATTCACTTGTGGCTGCTTCATTTTTTTTTTTTTCCTTTCCTTTTCCTTCCCTTTTGCTAATGTCATTTTTATTGCCCCCCCCCCCAACTCGTACATTATTAAAATAAACGCGTTTGTTTTGGTAAGCGACTGTTGTCTGGCGTGAGGCGGCACCGTGGTAGAGGAGAGAAGCGCGCGCGGGGTGCATCCATCATGTGGTGGTTGGCGTCGACCCGCGTGCGGTAAATTCTCCTCCGGTGCACGCCGCACATCACGCGGTGGAGCGGTTAAGTGAATATTGTGCGGGTGCCACGTTAACACGAACCGACTGGATGGGAAATAATTTTTTTTTTTTTTTTTTTTTTTTTTTTTTTTCGCAGTGTGCGTTAACACGTGTTGGTGCATGTCCAGCACCGTCTGCGGAAACGCGTCACGCAGCGCGTCGCCGTGTGTAATTCTCCCCTCCCCCGTGCGTTGTGCACCGCCATGCAAACGGTGATCTGTTGCTGGGCGCGTTTCACATTTATTGTGCATCTGAGCTGACACCGCATAGAGAGAGGGGGTGTCGCTGTCCGCCCCTGCACCCCGTCTCGGGTACGCGTTTTTTTTTTTTTTTCCAAAAAAATTTTCCGTCCATTTGCTCATATGGGTGAAAAGGGAAAAGAACAGGTACGAACGAATGCGTAACCCATGCATACGTGCAGGTGCAAGCGTTCGGTAAACAGCGCTCAACAGCGATCAACATCGTTCAACAGCGTGCAACAGCGATCTACACCCATTCAAACGTCTTCACACGGGTTCAAACCCCTTCGCGCCGCTTCATCACGCCGCTTCAAACCGCCGCTTCATCACACCGCTTCATCACACCGCTTCATCACACCGGCTTCATCACACCGCTTCAAACCGCTTCAAACCGCTTCAAACCGCTTGGCCAAACTGCTCCCCCCCCCCCCCCCCATGGGCATTGTGAAGGCCTCGGTGTGGGGTCACCTGCTGATCTGGTGGCTCGCGAGCCCGGCGGAGGGATTCACTTACACATGTGACTTCAATGATGAGTTCAGCCTCGAGTTTGGGTCCCAACAAAAAATAAATAAAGAAAAAACATGTACCCTGAAACCAGATGTGCTGGACAAGGTGGTAATAAAATGTGGGTCTGAAAATAAAAAATATGAATTATTACCACACAACTGTTTCGAGCAAGTATACACATCCAAGGCGATGAGGAACCCACAACCATTGGTGAAGTACCTTAACGGAGCTGCCGCTATCATGAAGAGGAAACAACTTCAAAACAACTCAGGAGGAAAAAAAAATTATGAAGATGTATCCTTTCGAGTCCCCCCCAATATGGATTATGAACAAAAGGCAGTTTACTGCATATGTGAAAATAAAGCGCGAATTAAAATTCAAAAAAAGAGCGGATACGTATACGACAAAGACATTGTTAATAAAGGGATAGTGGAAATAATAATTCCTACCCTACCCGATAGAATCGACGGTTGTGACTTCACTGAAAATACATCTGCATTATTCACTAAAGGATATGATGTGAATTTTTATAAAAGACTTGAAGACAAGGACGATGTTATTTGTAAAATTAGAGCTAGAGAAGGAAAATTCATTGGGTTCAAATGTCCCTCCAATTATAACATTGAACCTGAGGAATGTTTCTTACAAGGGTTTAACCTCAATGGAAAAAAAGAAAAACTTCAAACCAAGGTTAACCTCACTGAACTAGTGCTAGATCATTATAATAAAATATTTTATGCTCGTGTTCCTCAAAGGATTTATCAGGGCATGCACTTTTTTTGTGCATGTGTTTTGAACGATAAAAGATTGGTTGCTCATTTTGAATTCATTGCCTCTTCAGGGGATGCAACTGGCGTGAATGAATATGGCGAGATGAATGTTCTGCAGGGCCGTAATGGTGGCACAACAGCCATTGGCCCCGGTTCACACCTCCTCTTTTTACTCTTAGCAGTTCTTTACTTTATGCTATAGTGTTGTTCTCTCCCTCCCTCACGCAGAACTGTGCGGCAGGACGGGAAGCAGCAACTGCCCAATCCTATACAAACCGCGACTAGCCGGCTGGCCAACACGTTGAACAAATGTTACACCTCAGGGGGTTGAAACACGGGAGAGACACTCCCCCCCGCCATTGCCTGAACATTTTTTTTTTTTTTTTTTTTTT